CAGATAGAGGAGCAATTCCTCCCTTTTACTGCATTCTTTAAGAACTCTGTGACGTGTGTATGAATGAACTTATGTTCACGATTCTCATGTTACGTCAATTTATAGCTTTTGTAGGTTTGGGTGTTTTTGCTTTTCCATGTATCGTTTCCTTTAGGTTATTGTCTGGTCCTTTTCCCCTGTGTTTTCCTCTTGTCATTAGTTTCCCTGGCTGTCGGGGTTCTAATTGTCTGTTATGTTCACCTGGGCCCTGTGTTTTTCTCCTCCTCTCACCTGTGTCTTGTTGTTGTGATTAGTCTTGTGTTTATTTAAGTTCTGAGGTTTTTCTGTCTGTTTTGTGGTTCGTCTTGTTCATGACTAGTTCTGCAGTGAGTGTTCTGTTTGTCATTGTAACAATGATATATACTCATAGCTTGAAATAAAAGGAGTTTCAGTTTATACTCGTGCTTTGGGTCCGTGGTTTGTTCACAAACGCCGTGACAGTACGAACAGACCAAAAATGGACCCAGCAGATGAATCCCGTTTTGAGGTAGAATTGCAACGATTTTACTTTTATCTGGCTTGCTTGCGTTGATTGGTGGAAGGGAGCGTCAGTTGTTCGAAGAAGGAGGCAGCTCCTGGTAGNTCTCGAGGGGGTGTAACTGCAAAGACTTTCACCACTTCGGTTACTCCACCACTTGAAATCAAAACTCCCGGACAAATATGCGGAGTATGATCAACGTAACCCTGTTCTCTGACATTCGGTGAGAACATTTGAAAGCCGAAAGGGCCTTTTTAACCATTTTCGGCCGATAATTTTCGGTGGCCGAATATTCAGTGCATCCCTAGTGTATTGTATACAAGTCATTTTTGCACCACAGTAAGCAATGTCACATTTTACAAAGTTTTAATCAACTGTTTACTAATGAGGACATATTACGCTAATTTTCAGGTTTCATATTTCTATTTTGTGTCTCTACTGTGACATGGCTCTATGCTTTAATGTTCAAAAAGCTCTTTAATTTTCTCATACTGCCTGTGCTGCAGCACCTCTTTTCACCCTCTGTCTGAAACCAGAGCCCAGTCTGCTCTGATTGGTCAGCTGGCTGTGTTGTGATTGGTCAACCACTTAGAGATGTCCCGCACATTACCCTATCACATACAGTGTTGGAACGATATCCAATAGAAACGTGATTGTTTCATAGTGATGTCATTATGTTACTGAAGTAAACAATGGAGTGAAATGTAGGCGTTTCAGGCTGGGTGTGGTACAGAAACTCCCTGTCGGGGGAACTTTGGGATTTTTGCAGATCATTTAGGGCTGTCCCGAATACCATTTTTCGGGCTCCGAATATTCGGTAGTAATCAGCCACGAACCGCTTCAACACGTGTATTTCGGTTTATTCACGGCATTCATTTTGTTATTCTACAGTATTGTTGTTTTATAGTATTTTAATGTATACAACCCAACTTGTGTTCTTTGAAATTGAAATGGATATTGCATTGTGTTTGTTACTTTCGTTGCAGTTGTATATGTCTTAAATGTAATTTGGCTTGGTTTCCTATTTTGTATGGACACACTTTTTTTTTTATTTGAAGGAGAGTTAGCGCTGTTGACAGGAAGTTGTTGTTGCTATGGAAACAACGTGACGGAGATTAACGAAGAAAAAGTCATATCTACATTATAAAGACGAAGAAAGTAAACAATAACGTTTATGGTTAAGTATTAGCACCCCCCGAAGAGGCACAAGCTCTTACGCTGATATTGGAGTTTTCAATAAATTCAATTTGGCAGCCGCAGTGAAAAAGGCTTCCAAAAAAAAGGAAAGAAGAATATCCGAATAACAAAATTGAAACCCGAATAGTACTCCAACGAACGAATATTCGGATATTCGGGTACAGCCCTATCATTTACATGCACAAAAACCTATACAACACACTACAGGAAAGGGGAGAAGGCCAAAAAGCACAACAGGGACCTTTTAATTGTTCAAGCCATCTTTAAAGGATAACACAAACATACAGATACAAACTATAGAAATGTAAATATCCAAAAATAAATCAGGGTAAGAAGCCCCAAACCACTTACCCCCCTTGCTATTCCACAAATAGTATAATAATAATAATGTTGGTCTCCAGGATTCTTGGTCTTACTTACGTTATAATGGTTAAGGGGACGTTATATGTCTCAAGCCCTGACCTGATACCTGGAGTAATAAAGATAGTTGTGACATCCCTACACACCGCTTTAAATCTTAGTTACAATTCGTTTTCTCTTCTAATCCAATCAGAACAGTGGGATCTGCATTTTGATCTGTCTCTGTAACATCCAACATTATAGCTTTACGTTTTGTGAAATCTGAGCCAAGGATCACAACTGGCTGATATCCAGGATCCTTCAGGAAAATAAACAAAGTCAATTCAATTAAAGGCAAGTGCAAACAGACAGATAGGCATCATCCACTTGTTTTGTTACCATCTACAACACCCTTTAATGGAGTGTGGGTTGAATACTGATGGAAAACAAGCGAAGTGTGCGTGTTGAAATAAACGTCAATAACCCCATTAAGCTCTTTTTGCTCTCAGCTATAGGTCATTTGAAGCCATTTATATAATTGAAAGCATCCTAAAAACAATTGGTTGGACTCTTACTTCTCTCCTCCCTCCCTCCCCTCTGCATCTCTCACCACTTTGGTCCTCCATCTTTTGTCCCAACATATAATGTGACCTGACTGACCATGGGCTAGGTTTAACACAGTTTAAATACGTCAGTAACATAAGAAGGGTCTGTGTTATTTGATGTGGTGTTAGGGTGTTACAATGAAGATAAGATCAATTCCCTCCTTGTGGTGTTGCTGGGGCGGATTTATTGCCATCTTGTGGGAAGGTTAACAAGAATCTAGTGTGCCTGGAATTCCCTGTAATGTGTAATGCTTGCGATGGGATGATTTTCCCCTTGGTTTCATATTTATGTGGGGCATCAAATAAAGTGTGAATCTTTCACTGGATTGTGTTTGCAAGGAATCTATCTTCATCAAGTAAACATTGATGTTCAGCCACTGGTGTGACCTTGTGAAGGTTAAAGGGGTCCTATTAGGCTTTTTTTAGGATTTCCTGTAGTGTGTTATATGGTTTTTGTGCATGTAAATGGTCTGCAAAGGCTTAAATCCAACAAGTTCCTTCACACACTCCCCCCCCTGCCTGAAACGCCATGATGGTCTCCTTTGTTTACCTCCATAAAATAATGACATCACTATTTAACACTATCTCTATGCTAGCACATCTTTTGGTTTGCGCTCCAACACATAAGTGATTTCCTCAGGGTTGGGACATCTCTAATAGTTGACCAATCAAAAAAGAGCATGCCAGCTAACCTATCAGACAGACGGTTAAAAGAGGTGCTGCAGCACAGGCAGAATGAGAAAAAAAAAAATAGGGCCCTTTTACATGGGAAGTTGCAAGCCAGAGCATGAAGGTAAATGTTCAGAAGGAGAGAGTGAGATTGTACTGATAGTTATACTGTTGTATAGTCATGAGTAACCTCTACACTATATTACACAGTGTTGAGCAATCAGTCTGCAGTGAGCTGTGTCCCCGTCAGGCTTCAGACAGCTGAGGTTAATTATTACCTTCTCTACAGAGCTGTGCTGTACCAGAATCAGATGTAAACATGTTTCTGTAGCGGCTCATATGTCAGTTAAAGGACCTTTGTCTAATAAGATCAATATCAAATTGTATTTATTTGAACCAAGATCAATAATGTGTTTGATCATGTAAATTACAGGTATTTTAGTAGACATTTCAACAGTGACCAGAATGATGTGTCTCACTGGGCCTGATAGTTTCATTGTGTTGTAGTGTAACCTTTTAGCTGAAGAACAGATTGCACATTTTAATTGTCTATATGCTGGATGCATAACAGGCCCTTTTTTGGAATAATTGTTGTATTTTTAGTATTTATTTAAGATATGTTTAAATAAACATGATAAACTACATGTACACATGGTGATTTTTTTATCATCACCATCATCAAAATCAGAATACATTATTTATCCTGAGGGATTGTTCTTTGTGACATTTGCTACCCTTTGAATAATATAAAATACAATAAAAACAAAAATAGAATAATAACAAAATATGATATAAACATAAGAAGGTAAGGTTCAAATGTGCACCATTTACTCCAATATAACAACAAACAACATATCATGTGCTGTACGACATAAATGAAAAACAGAATGAAAATAAAATATGATAAAAACATTCATACCTAGGTCCATTTAGGAAGTTAAAATATAAGGGTGAAATTCAAATATATAATATGTATATAGACATAAGAAGGTCAAGTAAAAATGTGCACATTTTGCTACTATATAATGACAATAAATATGTAAATGTGTGTGTATTACAATATCTACAGTGGTGTATGACATGAATCAAAAATTGAAAGAAGTAAAAATGAAAGGAAATAATATTGAATAAAAACATTCATATACATAAAATAAGTTAATATATTTAGTAGGTGCAATACCAAAATTGAATACAAATATTTATAAACATATGAAGGTAGAGTAAACATGTGCCCACCTTACTACAATATATAACAATACAAAAAGTACTTTCATAAGAGCCTGCTTACTGATTTTATGAAAAGTAGTTATGTTAGCATTTTAATTTGTTTGATTAGTTTAAACCTATAGTTGTTTTACTCAGATATGTATTACCATCCTCTCGATACACTCTTAATCTAGCTCTAACGGCCTGCCTTTATTGAGCAAACATACAAAATGCCTTGTTTGCAGCATGTGTCAGTGGCTGTGTGGGTGAAGGGTTAAACTGGAGAAGAGCTGCCTATCAGGTAACGGTTGCCAGGGGCAGCAACTACAAGCATGTGGGAGGAGGATGTTTTTCAAGGGCTCCTCCCCCGAGTCTATCATGTCTTATAGAAAGGACGATGGGAGTGAACTGCAACTGTGAAGGTCCCTCCCCAAATCTATGTGAAACCACATTGGGGAATGCACTCACACACAATCAATCCCACACACTTTGCCTAAGTCATGTAACTTGCTCAATTCAGAGCTCCTTCCTGTTTTTCCACTAGTGCCGTCTTCTCTCGTGCCTGCCTTCACAGACTGGGCTGAGCAGGAAGTCCAGAAAAAAGTTTGCCCAGGAAGAGTCGCAAATCTTTTAAAGAGGAAAAGCAGACCCACGAGGAAATCTCACAAGGACTTTCAAGAGGACGTTGTTTGTTTGTGTTGTGACATTTGAAACCGGGGTGGTGTCTGCCCTACGCCATGGGGGCTGTGAGAGGTTTTGTTGGGGTTGAAGAGAGTGGAAAAGTGCTTCTGAAAGGAGAGGACTGACACACTTTTTGCATATTAACTCAGTTGTTAGAGCGGAAGTGCTCCAACCAGACAAACCAAATTCCTGCTGATGGATTGTAGAGGGAAACACTGCCCTGAAGCCTCAGACACTGCTGAGGAGTAGACACTCTCACACACACATCAGGAGAGGGAGAGGAGAGGGGCCAGAAGAAAAGACATGGAAGCACTGAGAGAGTCTTTTCTGAATTTGACTTTTCAGATGTCATCCTATAAGAGAGCCACGCTGGATGAGGAGGACCTGGTGGACTCCACCGCTGACGACATCTACCCATCATCACCCATGCAGGTAAACTCTCAAATACCCTGTTTTAAAAATAGCTAACTCAGTTATTATAATACTTTACATAAGAAAAATGAATAGACCTTAAAAGGTATACAAAACAATCAAATGCACATTCATCGTATCTCACGGTATTACACAAGAGGTACTCAAGGTGTTTCCTCGTCTATCGATCCATTTGTAAAATAAATCTGCTGTCAAGTAAAAGTTTCACAATTCTTGAGAAAAATGTAAACTTCTAAAACACAATTTATAGGTGCAGTTTAAAAGAAAAACAGACACTTCCTGGTTTAATGTGTGCCATCAACTTGTGTGATTTCATCCGTAGACTTCTGACACGATATAAAGCCTTTTCTTTTTTCTTGTTTGACGTAAATATCTTTTTTGGAGCTCTAATGATATGTTACACACACTAACCTGCTAGACAGAAGTGTCATGCTACACTTAGAAAGACTCTTAATACTGTAAAATAATTGCTTTACCCCTATATCAGTTGAGTTATTAAATCCTGCTAACTGTCAAGCTTTTACATGGCATTGCAACACTTTGTTGCACTAATGTTACAATCTAGATCTGTATTTTTATTTTGGCATCAGTAAGTCATTGTTTATGACAATTTACAGACCATTTTATGCAGGATCAGAGAAAAAGAGAAGACCAATATTTTATATCCGGCATCTCTGCGTGTAAAAACACGGAGGCGTGTGTTGCAGTGGGTTGTCCGTTGGTGTTTGGATCAGGGGGTCACAGGTTCAAACCGCACTGCAGTCAGTATGTTGTTGTGTCCCTGAGACACTTCACCCCAAATTGCTCCTGTGGAGATTGTCCACTGTATTGAGTATGTAAGTCGCTTTGGATAAAACCGTCTAGCAAGTGACATGTAATTTAATTTTGTCAGCAGTTAACTGAATTCGGAAATTTAGAAACATTTGACACAAAGTTGTCTCACTGTAAGACCTAAAAATCTTAGTTAATTTGCAAAATTCTCTTCAAACAGACTTCCTTTTCACTATTAATATGTAAAAAAAACTAGTCACTTATCATATTGGCGTAGCTTCTGAATAACATTAGTTTCTCCTCCTTTTTTATTTCCATACCTGTTATTCCTTATTTTAAAGTAGAGTTGTGAAATGGTTTTCTCTGGGAATTTACAAGCGCTCTTTAATATACACTCTGTGCCCTTTCTTCAACTTCTTAACTTTAGAACAAGCACATCGTTCAGCACTACTTTATTTGACCAAAAGTATACAGAGCTCAAACAATGTGCTTGAGCATAAGCGCTCCTGCTATCATTATTATGCCGTGGTTTCCGGGATAATAAAATTGCGTTTTGAAATACTACATTTGGAAATGGCACAGGATAAGCAGGGGGATTTTCACAGTTGCACCCACAAAGCAGTTTAGGTCCAAACCAACCCGATTTTCTAAGCTCCAAGGATTAAGAAGCCACTGTGGCTTTTGGCATTTGATTTAGTCGCATTCAGTTTGACTGTTGAACTCTAATCTAAGCTAATAGCAGTAAATCGGATCCTTATTTATATACTTCAGGGGTAATTGACTTCCACAGGATGTAAGTGTGGTCCAAGATCTGGCATTTATTTACGGCGGGGATACTCTACGACCGGCCAAAGTGCTAAACGCGCCCTCTGAGAGATTTGTAAGTGGCCCTTGGAATCATTCCTGTAAGAAATCAACTTCCTTGGGAGCCTTAACTAAAGCAATATTCTCTAAGAAAGAAATGCAGGAGCAGGGAGTGCTTGTTTTAAAGCCACTGCACCAATCATTTATCAAAACAAATTCTGCATCTGACCAAAAAAATATGCACTCTCCTCTTCTTCTTTCATGTTTTTCTGAGAAGCTTCGGAGCAGAACATCTTTAAACTGGTAACTGTTGTCTTGCCGTGTTTACATGTGAACAACAACAAAGCAGGCGTGGCTCAACAGGAATATTGTGTCATGTTATAATCCAGGGCAGAAGCAAAACATCTTTAGCAAGTGCATGTTATACTAGAAGTCAGGAAACAATAGAATAATTTGTAACCTTTTCTGTGTAGAAGGGTTGAAAGCGCCACCAGGGTGAAGCCATTGTGCTTTAAAATAAAACCTGTCATCAAGTCCCTGAGAAGCTGTTTGACTATAGACTAATATTTTCCACACAGCATTAATTCAACAAAGGAACGCTGTTAAGAGTGTGTGCTAATGTGATTTAAAGCCATTTTATGTCCAAGCTTAAAATGATTATACTTGACTTAAAGGATTCGTTGAAGCACCTTAAATGTTTTTTGTGTTTGTATGTGCAGGTGACACTTCTACACGGCCGGAGTCCAACATGTTGGCCAGACAGGACACAGACGGAGCGGAGGCTGCTGTTTTTAGTGTGCGTCATGTCCGTAGGCCTGTTCATATCTCTCATCACGACTGGGGTCTTCTACAAACAGAGTGAGTTCCAATTTCCATGTAAACTCAATGCTACGGTGACATATCTCCTGAAACCCAGCAGTGCACTGTGAAGTAGCCTGAGAAGGGGAATGTTCTACAAGTATATTGCCAAATCAAAGGACAAAGCAACACACATTTCCAAAAGAAAGAATTCCAAAAGAAAACACCCCAGCTAAAGGAGAGTAGTTCAAAAGAATATTTCAAAATGTCGGGAAATATGCCAAGATATGAGAAGATTAATACCACTCTGATGTCTGTCCATTACATATACAGTGGGGTAAAAAAGTATTTAGTCAGCCACCAATTGTGCAAGTTCTCCCACTTAAAAAGAGAAGAGAGGCCTGTAATTTTCATCCTAGGTGTACCTCAACTATGAGAGACAAAATGAGAAAAAAAAAATCCACAAAATCACATTGTCTGATTTTTAAAGACTTTATTTCCAAATTATGGTGGAAAATAAGTATTTGGTCACCTACAAACAAACAAGATTTCTGGCTCTCACAGACCTGTAACTTCTTCTTTAAGAGCCTCCTCTGTCCTCCACTTGTTAACTGTATTAATGGCACCTGTTTGAACTCGTTATCAGTATAAAAGACACCTGTCCACAACCTCAAACAGTCACACTCCAAACTCCACTATGGCCAAGACCAAAGAGCTGTCAAAGGACACCAGAAACTAAATTGTAGACCTGCACCAGGCTGGGAAGACTGAATCTGCAATAGGTAAGCAGCTTGGTGTGAAGAAATCAACTGTCTGTGGGAGCAATTATTAGAAAATGGAAGACATACAAGACCACTGATAATCTCCCTCGATCTGGGGCTCCACGCAAGATCTCACCCCGTGGTGTCAAAATGATCACAAGAACGGTGAGCAAAAGTCCCAGAACCACACGGGGGGACCTAGTCAATGACCTGCAGAGAGCTGGGACCAAAGTAACAAAGGCTACCATCAGTAACACACTACGCCGCCAGGGACTCAAATCCTGCAGTGCCAGACGTGTCCCCCTGCTTAAGGCGAGACACCCCAGGTGAATAGGGTAATTTTTTTAACTTAAAGGTATCAGCTAGAAATTTCTCCAGTTAATTACTTACAATAAGGCAATTGTCTTTTGTATTACAAGTTTTCTGAAATAGCATGTTTAAATATGCAAATTAGCCATTATCTCATCAAATATGTGCATATTTTAACACANGGCCCAAACGCGAAGCCAAGGGACGCAGAGCGCAAAACGTCCCAAAACAAACCGGGTGGGGGCATTTATTAAAGATCAACCCATGCGTTGCCACGGAGTAGTTCACAGCCTCAATCCCTGCTGTTCTCCCTGAACACATCTGCCAGCCCACAAGGAGGTCTCACACCCAATTACACAGAACAGGAAACCAAGAGCCTAAGTGGCTGCTCACACGGGACACGTTTGCGTTTATTGCACCAGTAATCCGTTTTTCAAAAAGTCTTCCGTTGCACACGTATCGTGCGGAGGTTTGGACCCGTGTGCTGCTCTCCCGGACGAGAACGCTGGAGAACGCTGTAGTAAACTATGCCAGGACTGTAAATTGGTGGCCCTGATACTTCCACAACAACGAGACGCTCGACAAGCGCTCGACCACGCTGTAAGTACATACTGTATGCCCCGGGCCCTGTAAACTGGGCGCTGTACACTTCCGCCCACAAAATACACCAAATTGGTTGTTGTGTGTGTGGCGAACCACGCATGCAGCAAATGAAGCGGGGAGAGGTGGGGGGGAGGCGGGGCTATCGTTATTTTTTCAGGAAATGATCGTATAGAGGCGATTACACGGAGCCGTTGGACCCCCCAGAGCGTTTCGTTTGCAAATCTATCCACCTTGGGACCCCTTATCGTTTGTGGGGTCCGTTTTTATCTTTTTGTTACGGCCTCGTGTAAATGAAAGGGCTATACGCAAGAGAAACTATGCGGATCCAACCCGTTTTGTTCTCGTGTAAACGGGGTCTAAATGCCCACAGACTAATCAATCAACAAGACACAATTGAGGGGGGAGGAGACAACACAGGGCACCAGGTGCACACAATCACCAGCCACAGACAAAACGGGAGGGGAAACAGTTTCAAACTAAATCACATGTACAATATTACAAGGCCCGAAGCCGTCAGTCCACAGTGACGAAGTTACCTTTGTCACAAACTGACATGTGGCTAGTCATTTGTTTCTACGCATCATGAGTGAATTCATTCATGGAAGAATAAAATGTTATTCTAAACAGACAATACTTTGCTACCATTATCTGCCTATTGAATTGTGTTTGAAAAATGTGCCGACCTTTTAAACAAAGCAACACAGCAGCCTGTAGATCATGGCTCTTAATCGGTACACAGGAAAACAATCCATATCAGCTTCCTTTCTTATGCACTCTTCTTCATGAGGATGAACTGGACCTTTGTGTGCTTTGTTTGGATGTAGCAACATCCAGAATGATCTGTGTGTGCAGGAGTTTGAGAGGAAACGGGTGGATGGGGAGTCAGGCATGGAAAGCATAAAGGAATCAAAAGGTTTAGGAAGGAGAGAGTGTGAGGAAAATAGTGAGGGGGGGAAACAAGGAAGGGCAGAAGGTGTGAGAAGGGCAGGAAAGAGGCTGGAGAAATGAAACGGGAAGAGAGCATTAGGTATAATGAAAAGTAGACTGCTAATAAAAGAAATGACTTGTTAAAAGCTGTAATGAGCGAAACAATGAAAGGTAAGGAAGCTAATGGGTCTAATTAAAGTTTAATTATTTCCAGTGAAGGTCTCAAACTAAGGATGAATGTGTTGTCTGGACTTTGGCACACTCGATGTGCCAAAGTCCCTTTTCATTACAGAGGGAGCGACGACTCATCTGCACACTTTAATTTATAACGAGTTATGTCCATTTAAGAAGACAAAGGTAAAAGCCGTTAGGAGTCGATATTTAATCTCTCCTCCTTCTGCCAAAGCACAGAGGAGGAACAGTCAGGAGAGCTGAGGTGGGAGTGGCAGAGATTAGAGTCAAAGCTGCCTCATTTGTCTCTGGGAAGAAACGTGTCATGGACTATTGAGCAGCCACAAATGCAGATGTGATGGACATATAATCACTAGTTTCACATTCACAGCTGCTAAGGGACACAATTATCATGTATTTAGTACAAAGTGAGCGTCCTTGATTGTGAAAAAGAAGACTCTAGTCTCCTTTGCACAAGCACAGTCCTTGAGTTACTTGAGGTCACCCAGCACTGATTGGGTTTAATAAGAATCAGAATACTCTATTTACACCAGGCGGAAATCCTGTGGCAATCCAATCCCTGTCGGTCCCAACCGTTTGGGAACTATGCTGGAAACATATGTTTTGGTTTAATTTAGATCGAACTAAAAACAAGGTTTGGCGTGATCCGATTTGAGTTGGAACAATGGAAACATCCCCTGTAAAATAATCATAAATGATTGTCCTTCTACTAATTAAAAAAAGAATTGCCAGTTTTCATTCATAGGATGTTGAATACAGCATTGTCAATCAGAATCCCTTTATTAGTCCCACAGAGGGGACATTTGCAGCGTTACAGCAGGAAAGAGCCACAGACAGCTTAGTGTTGCATATCTTACACGCGTTAAAAAAAAGTACTAAGTTATAATATAATAAACAATATGCTAAAAAAAGATAAAAAGTTACATAATTTTCAAAAATACAGATCAAATCAAATCTACAAATCCTGTAGCAGTTCTTAGGATTTAGCAGCCCAGTATATATTACAGTTATTAAAGATGGCATATGTATATAAAGTATATATTGCACATAAAGCACATATTGCACATAGTTTGACGGTATTTAACAGCAGCAAGTTACACAATTTACAAGATACATTCCTTGTAACAGTAACAAGGGTTTAGCAGCCAGGTATAAATTAACATTTAACGGTGTAAAAAATACTATATACCTTATACTCCCTGAGAATTGCAAACCCCTTATGACTATTTTTTTTTTCCCGTAAAACGGTTTTTGTAACTTATCATAACTTATTTAGGTTACACCGGAAGGAATTGTACATCTGACTCCCTTCTAACAGATTAAGCCAGCAAAGTAGGTTCCAGATACCACTTTTCTAGAATTACCTGTAATGGGTCTTGACACCACTACTGTCAGTCGCGAGTCCCGACTTACCACCGCCCGTGTTACCCCTCTAGCTCCCTATCATATCTTGAGTGACTAGTGTCTCGACGTAATCTTATCTCCCTTCGCCAAATAGACTAGGAAGGAAGTGAGTTTACGAAAGGAAAGATAAGTCGGTCTTTGAGAGAAGGCTCACCAAATCCACAGGACAGACCAGTCTGAGTTAGTCGACAAAAAGGATCTATACAGATTAACACAAATAGACCACTTTTGTCGCACATCTTTATCCCGGTTTAAAATCAGGGAGTGTTAAATGGTTTTAGAAAGCGTCCAACTGCAAACTTTTAATACTGGATAAAGTAACTTTCCCTCTTTTGTTTTAGAACAAATAGGTCCTCTCTATGACGTCCAGGGAAGGAAGGACGGCCAGGTCTGGAAATGTTGTCGGACGGGGATCATTCTGGAGGATTGTGTGTGTTTTGTTCTGATTGTTGGGGAACGACGATTTTGTTTGTGAAACACGTTATACACGATATACACGTTTATACCGT